GGGGGAGGGGCCGCGGGAGGTTGGCTGTGGGAGCGCGCTGACCACCAGGGGGCAGCTCCTGTGTTGAGCGTCTGCCCCCTGGTGGTCAGTGTCTGTCACAGTGACCGGTCGTTCATTCCCTTAGGCTTTTATATATATAGGTTTTAGCGTTTTGAGATGGTGATGAGTTTATGAGTCTTCCGTCTTCTTTTGCTGATACTCTCACTTTCCCTCCACACGGCTGCAGGTGCAGCTAAAGACCTGATGTGCATTTTTTAAAGATGGTTCATTTAAAATACTTTCTAATTTCTGTTGTGCCCGCTCCTTTTACTTGACGATAATGCATATTTTAAGAAAAAAAATTCCAAACACCTGGGCCTTCAACGTCGACGGCACGGCGGTCGGAGACTCCCACGGCGTGTCTCGGGCTTTGGGAATGTACGAAGGTTGTGTTCATCAGTGTAACTCGTTCATTAGATCCCACGGAGGACCGAGACCATGGGATGCTTGTCTTCCTCTGGCGGGCTTATTGCGCTAACCATCATGCTCTCCGGGTCCCTCCACAATAGACCCAGAGACATAAAAGCAGGGCAACCTCAGAGGGAACGTGCACAATGAACTTGTGTGCATTATATGCTTCACCCGTGGACACAGGCGATAGGGCGGTGAGGGCCTGGGGTAGGGGGGGCAGGTTAGCATAAAGTATAAGGATGAAATACCTTTCTCCCACCCGAAAATGCAAGGAAATCATCTACTCAGCTTCGAAAATTCCCATTCAGATTCACTGCTGTGCTTAGTCCTTTAGAAAAATGCTATTTTAGCCCGGCCGGCGTGGCTCCTTGGTTGAGCGTCGACCTAGGAACCAGGAGGTCAGGGTTCGATTCCCGGTCAGGGCACAGGCCTGGGTTGCAGGCTCCATCCCCAGTAGGGGGCGTGCGGGAGGCAGCCGATCCGTGATTCTCTCTCATCGTGGATGTTTCTGTCTCTCTCTCCCTTCCGTTCTGAAATGAATAAAAATATATTTTAAAAAAGGAAAATGCTATTTTTTAACCGATTCATATTCTTCTCTGGTCGGAAGATGAGAAGCTGTCACGTTCATGATGAGAAATACGTGTTCGTTCATTTGCCTCCACATCCCTGAGTCTCCATGAACCGCCCTTGAAGGAGGCCTGTTCGCACAAGAAGCATTTGAATTGTAGATCAGGGGCCGCCGCCCCGCCAGCGTGAGGTCACGCCGCTGCTTGTCAACACCTCCGCGTGGTAATTTATGGGGCGTCGTTGCCAAGAGAGGCGTCTGATGGCTTTTTAATTACCCTCCGCGTCTGAGGACAAAGTTTAGTGGGGGGGGGGGGGGGGGGAGGCCAGTTCCCAGACGAAGGGAGAAAATGCTAGAAGCCGAGTAGAGTTGGTCATGTAGCAACTAGAGGCCCGGTGCACGAAATTGGTGCACGGGTAGGGTCCCTAGTGGCTGCTGGCTGTCGGCCGGGACCTTCTTTTATTCTGCACCGCCCCCTGGTGGTCAGCGCACGTCATAGCGAGCGAGCGAGCTCCCAGTTGGTCGAACTCCTGCCTGAGGGGACAATTTGCATATGGGCTCCTGCTCATCCCGGCCCCGCTGTGCCTGCCGTGGGCTCGCGCCCAATCGGACCCGATCAGGAGATGCTCGCGCTGCTGCAGTAGCGCTCGCCAGCCATGAGCCCTGCGTCTGG